GCGTATTGTGGAGAATTACCGCAACGTGTCTAACTGTAGTAAATGTCTTACTGTAGTGAACATCCTCTGTACTTACAGAGCACGACCCTAAATACCGAAACCTACATGGTCTGTGGTGTGAGTGCAGCCCCAAGGGGCACACCAAGTCAGAGGAACCCGGCTGTGCTGTTCCATGGCTGCTTGCTGCCTCCGTTTCCCCTTTAGAGAACTGCTAGTGGGAAGCTTAGAGATGCTATGGGAACTGCCTGCTGCATAAGGACCCTCAGCGAAGAGGGAGAGGACATAGAAAGGTGGAGAATTCAGGGCTCGGGGGATAAAGCGAGGCCTGGGTGAGCAGTGCAGCTGTTCCCCCTCCCTCTCCTCCTCCTCCTCCCTCAGCACCCAGAGTCACAGGCACAGGGCGCCAACTTACGCTGGTCAGGGTGTCCCCATTGAGTTCAGTCACAGACTTGACATTTTTGAAAGTTGTCACCAGCTTGTTGTTGCCTTCCATGTTAACCACTGCCTGCGGGGACAGAGAGAGGCCTGTGGAGAAAGGGCTGTGGAGAGCACGACCCTCGCTAGTGAGCTGGTTCCCTGTGCAGGTGTCACTTGGGACAACCAAAGCGCTCTGACCTCTGTGCTCCCAACCTCAACAGAGGAGAGGAGCATGGAACACCTCTGCAGAGCAGAGATGAGGAGCAATGGGAAGAGGTGGAGAGAGAGCACGCTGAGCCCAGCACACAGCCATCTGGGAGCAGGGAGGACGGCTGCTCCTGCTGCTCCGTGGTGCTGGGGGCGCTGGGGGTGCAGTGTGTCCTGGGAGCAGCAGAGGGCGGGTCCTGGCTGTCGCTGAGCTCTGTGGCCCCAGGCCTGTGGAGGGAGCTGCCCTGCCCACTGCCTTCAGCGGGGCAGGCTGACCTCCCCTTCGCAAGGCCCTGAGCTCTGTGCGTACCCCAAGGCTCGTTCTATGCCTGCCTGGGTCCTGGGCTTCTGGTGCTGCCAGCGCCTCTCCCAGGATGCCGCTCCTGTTCCCAAATGCTCTGGGCTTGGCTAAGGCCATCATGATCTGCCCTGTGTTAGGAGCTCTCACTGACTCCCCCAACACTTTGCCGAACTCTGTTCAGGGGAGTTTGGGAGCCAGGAGCCCAGCCTCAGGGAATTTGAGATCTGGGATCCTGTTCTTTTCCTGGTTTCTTCCCTTCTTCCATGTAGTAGAACTTAGTGGTGGTGGCTGCAGCACCCTCCTGCAGATTCTGTAAAAATGACTACAGCATCCTGACAATTTCTCTGCTTCTCCTGCTGACAAGGTGGCTTAGAGAGGGGCTGCCTAGGATGAGAAATATGAGGCCCAGGGTCCGGTACACCAAGAAGCCCAGAGGCCAGGCTCCAGGGAATCTTCCAGAAGCAGAGCATGTTGGAAGAGGTGCCTCCTACCTTGACCTTCTCTCCAGTCATGGTCTCTATCTCACACTCCTGCCCCAAGGTGAATTCATTCTTGGTCACTTTGGTCCCTGTGGTAATAGTGATCTTGAAGTGCTTTCCATTCTGCACGATTTCCGACACCCCCTTGAGGTCCTTCCCCTTCTGGATGAGGTCGTCAGGTACCCCTGGAGGAATCCATCCAAGATTTAGAGATAGCAAGGGTGGGATTTACAAGGCTGAGGCAGACAGGAGAAGCTGTGCCATGGACAGGTGGAGGCCACAGACTCTGGGGACCTGGGAGCAGCAAGGGCTGCAGCCTCGGAGAGGGAAGAAGGGTGGCCTGGCCTGGCTGCTGCGACCTTGAGCCTTTCTTTTTGCTGTGGGTCTTCTGCTTCTGGCTCCTCTTTCTCTCCTCCTTGAGTGGCTCTGCTCTGGGAGTCAAACCCTGTCACCCTCCACATCCAGTGGGCTCGGAGAGTGTCCCTTCAGGTCCAGTCACCACTGAAGTGACAGGAGGAGCTACTCATAACCAGGAGAGGGGACCATGTGCAGAGTGTAGTTGTGCCAGGCTAACCCGAGATTTTGTAGGACTGAATGCTCACAGGATATTCTAAGAGCAAGACTGGGTGGGCTGGGGGATCCTGCTGCACAGGTGAGAAGCTTGAAAGGCAGAAGTGGGGTGCCTTGCCTCAGAGGGTGCCCAAGAGCTCAGGGTCCTCCTGCCCTGCCCTCGCTGTTTTCTGGCTCTTCTTCCTCTCCCCAGCTCCCTGGCCATACTGCAGCCTCTGCCCACAGGACTCCCTCGGCCTGGAACATGCTCCCCTCCCTGGGGCCGTAGGGGGCACCTGCTCCTCTTCCCAGCCTCCCCTTCACCATCCCTCCGTTCCCCCACACCCCTGCTCTGTGGGGGGCAACACCTGCTTCCTACTCCAACATGAACACATCCCTTCACGCGACCCTCGTCATGCCAAGTTACCTTTCTAGGTCTCACTAGTAAAGTGGGAAAACACTTAGTTCTCAACGCAGGGTTCTGCTGAGGCGTGAATGCTGCATTCTTAGCAAGCGCTTAGCCCGATACTGGTGCAGTCACCCCTCCTACAAGTTAAGGGGAACCTGCTGCACTGATTTCTTGTCTTCTCTCCCTAAAGGCTGACCGTTCAAATGTGGCTCTTCGTTAAGTCTCAGAGCTATGTATCCAGCAGCTACATATCCACACAGCAGTGCTGTGTGGTTGTCCATGAGTGCATTTGTTAGGAGAATCCGTGCTTATGTGAGGGAGTGAGCAGGGTCTCACAGGAAGTATGGTAGGTGCAGGCTTCCATCCTGATCCCACCTCGCCGAATGCTCTTCCCACCTGCCTTCTGGTGGCCTTGCCCAGCGAGCAACAGCACAAGTGGCCAGAAGCTCCCATTCCACCCCAACACCTGACACTGAATTCCACTGCGTACAGGGCCAGATCTCCATGTTGTGGCCGTGGCCTTCGTGGCCTGCCCAGCACTCACCAATCGCCTTCATGAAAGACTCGAAGTTTTCCTGGCTCTGCAGCTGGTATTTTCCAGAGAAGTTCATGGTGGTAATGGGGTTTCTTCTCCAAAGCTGGCCCAAATCTGTGGGCCAGATTGCCCACTGGGGGCTGCTTTATAGGGGCTTCTTGCTCTCCGATATGGACCATAGGTCAGTGGTGCTGGATTTCTTCATGGCCAGGTTCAAACATTAACTCCCAAGAGCAATGGTCAGTGATAATAAGCTTAATTGACACAGCAGTGGTGTGTTCTTCGGTGGCCAGTAACGACCAGGTCTCAGGGACGGAACCCCAGGCCTCTAGTGTTTAGGCTGTCGTCCCACCTGTTATGAGCGAGGTGTGCATGCGGGACATGTGTAGGTGTGCACACTAGACACATTCGAATTGTGGTCGAAGCATGTGGTCAGTGTTCAAATATTAAAAATTTATTGAGAGACATATGTGCATTAATCTCCCTCAAATTCCTCCCCACACTTTAAACACGTCCTGAAGCAGTTCTAGAAGTCTCCTCTGTCTCCGTGAGGTGAGCAAACACGACAGTGAACGTTTCTGCTGTGTTCGATCCGATCAGCAGGCAGCTCTTAAAAATATTGCAACGTGTCCGCATCCACCTTTGTCACTGGGTTTGGTTCCAGGCAACTCTTGTCTCTTCCCCAAAGTGGAAATCACCAGGAAAGGTGAGTGACTTGAATCAATTCGGGACGTGCAGGCATGACAGACAACTTCTAGATCTGCGGCAGAAAGTGGCAAGAGTGTGTGTGTGAATCAGCAGGAAGTATTTGAAGGAAGATTCTTGGCAATCAGTCTTTTACTGTAATAATTTTTTAAATTAAGAATTAATACTTTTCTACATACAGAGCCAGTTACACACTTCATACATATGCATATATATATGGACATCTATGTATCGTGTGCATAATTATATGTACTTATACACACATGGGTATGTATGCATATCCTTGTGTTTGCATATGTGTACAAACAAATGTGTACACATGTGTGGACATGTGGAAGTATATTTATATCTATGTGTCGCATACATAGAAAATGACATTGAGCTCAAAACTTTACATTATTTGTGTACATGTAGGAACCTTTTCTATCCTTATTGTCGTTATATACATTTAATTTTCACAGAATTCTCATCAAGCTCTAGCGCTATGTCCATGCAGGGAGGGCGCCGACGCCCTAGGAGACTCCACAGCCCCTGCGGTCTCTCCTGGAGTGCCAAGTCCACACGTACATCACAGGGCAGAGCAAGCCCTAAGCCAGGTGTGGAAACTGACATGCGTTTTAACAGCAGAGACAGGAAAAGAGAGCCAGGAGAGTCTGCTCCCTTTCCTGCCCCACCTCTGCCTGGGAGGCAGGAAAGGAATTTGGAGGACAAGTAGGGAGCCTCATGGGGCCCCCTGTCTGGCCCTGGCCCTTGGCAGACTGCACAGAAACACTTCCAGTGACTTTGGATGCTCCTGATTGGCCTGAAGCGCAGAGGCCGTGGTACCCGGCGGACCTGCAGCCCCGGCCCTGCCTCTGAGGCAGCTCTGGACAGGCTCCTCGCCCAGCTCTCTCCCCTCCCTCTGGCCCTTGGGGTGGGCCTCTGTGCTTGCAGCCTCCAGTCTCCCGCCTTCACTCAGGCCTCTGTGCTGTGGTGGTCAGCGGGCCCTGCAGCACGGCCTGAGCGCGGCCCTCTCCAGGTGGGAGCCTCTGCCTCTGGGGTCCCACTTGCTCCTGAGGCCACAGGTCTGAGGGCTCAGGAGAGTCCTGGTGTCCTGTGTCCTGTCACAGTGACTCTTCCAGCAGGGCTCTCCCTCTGCTGCCATGAGCTCCCATGCTGGGCTTGGTAAGCAACTGGTGAGCAACTGCCATTATGGGAGCTTCTAGCAGGGCTGCTGGCCTTGTAAAGCCAGCTTCAGTTACACACACACACACACACACCCTTCTTTCTCTGTAGGTCACAGTCCCTAGGCCAGCTGAACACATAACGGGCCTCCAGGCCTCTGTGTTTGTGTCCCCAATGCTCCTTCCGCCGTTCTCTCTGCCTGGTCTTCTGTGAGTCCTCTTAGCTCACTTCCCCAGCCCTCCACGCTGGCCCCTGGAACGAGCTCTCCTGGCCTTGTGTCCCTGTGTCCCTGTGTCCCTGTGTGCTCCCCTTGGTGTTCTTCTCACCCCACACAGAGCAGGAGCTCAGTCTGTGAAGTAAAGATGGAAGGAAGGTGACCAGGCTGTGGCTTCTGTGGTTCAGGGAGCGTGAGAGGTGGGGAGCGGTCAGGTCAGCACTCCAGCCTCACAGCACTGAATGACTGGAGCTGGGCGGCAAGGGCTTGTGTGTGCCTGTGCACAAGCACACGCATGTGTATAAATGACTGGATATGGATAAACTGCTTGGGAGAGATGGGGAGTGAGACCCCAGATCCGTGCATCAGCAAGAGCCCCACTGGCCTAGGCAAGGGCTGCCCTGTTCCCAGGAGGCCAGGAAAGGTGGGGTGTCTTCCTCCCAGGGGAACAGAAGAAGAGAGGGTCAGTGAGAGGGTTGGGACAAGGAGCCACCTGCGGTGGCCACTAGAGAAGGTTCTAGCAGTGTTGTTGGGGAGTCTGAAGCTGCTGCTGTGCTGCCAGCGAATTCCCACCCAGCTCTAGTTCTGCTCCCTGCCACCTCCGAAGCTTCAGTAAGGTGTAGGGCCTGAGTCACTGTACAAGCGAGAGGAAGGTGGCAAAGGCTGTTTCATTCTGGACTGCCGTGCCAGGACTGAGGCTGTTCTCCTAAATGCAGTTTCAGAGAGCCAAATGTGCACTATGAGTGTCTTCTTCTAACTGTTCTCAGAACTTTTAGGCAGGGTTTGGGAGAGTCCCAGCTCATTTCATGCAGACCCCCACCACTGTGCCATCCCAGATGGGATCTGAGTTACAGATGGCCCAAGCCTGGGCCAACAGGCTTATGTCTGTCTGATGGTTCGGTGGCGCTCAATCCATTGCTGAAGTCGAGACCATTCCTAAGACCTCATCCACCCTTCCTTATCTACCACCCAAAGAACTTTCCCATGGTGCTCACAGAGTGACCCAGTTGGGTTGAGGATATGGATCAATGTTACTGTGTTTGCTTAGTATAAACTCGGTCCTGGGTTCAATCCCCAGGGTGGCAGAAGAAAAGAAGAATAAGAATTAAAAAGATAGATAGAAGGAAAAGCAGTAGCAGCTTAGGAGTCTTGCATCCTAACGCCAATGAAACATTGATCAAAATCAGTAATAGTGAAGGAGTCATCACAGCCCTAACCCTTATCAAGGACTTAGTTTGGGAGCTCTACCACCCCACCATGTATGCACCATGCTGCCTCATTTGAAAGCCTCCTGTGTGACATCCTTTCTGGGGTCCACAGTGGGGAATGGGAAGCAAGGTGTGAATGTTGTTCCAAAGGGCAAGTCAGCATCAATCCCAGAGGCCTTGAGACAGCCTGGCCAACTGCAACTTTCCTGATACCTCAGGGACGGCCGGACTTGTGAACCAACTCCATGCAGACACAGTGCCCGGCCCTCTTTCCTGCCTCCCTGCTCTAGGCAGCACCTGCAGACTGGGAACAGTACCAGGTACATGACTGGCTCAGATGCCAGTCGAGGGCCTGGCTCAGTGGGCAAAGAGGCAACAGCTGCCTGGCACCACCTGCATACACAGAGCAGCCAATGGACTAGGCCATTGGAGGCAAGGCAAGGATGTCCTTTTCCCCCTGACTTCAGATACAGCCGTCCACAGGCACCCCTAAGAGCTCCTTGTGTAGGTGTGTATGCTTGTGTGCAGTAAGACCACAGAAAATAGTAGTTGTTTTAAAATTAATCCTTGCAAGTACTTGTCCCTATAATTAGGAGAGAGTAATGACAGCTTTCACCCAGAGGTGAGTAGACATAAGAAGAACTTAATTTGAACTTAATTTGTAATTAAGTTCAAGTGGCTTCCAAAGCAAAAGGTTCCCAACACCATGGACACAGCTTAGGATTCTGGTCAGCCAGAGACTGGCTTACTGCAGTGCCCACAGACACCCTGTTCCCCCGATGCCGGTGTGCAGACACAGAGAGGAGGTGAGCTGTCTCTTGGTGGACAGTGTATGCCATGCATTCATTTTGGAACAGGACCATCTGCATTTGTATCTGACCCAGGATGCCCAGAGGTCCAGATGCCTATTTCCTAGGAGCTGAGGACACTGGAAATGACCCCAGGAGTCCTCACACCTGCTAGACTAGTGCTGCAGAGGGGGAGGACTGAGCTCTTCTTTAGAATGCATGTTATCAAGGGCTAGAGAGATAGCTCAGCGGTATAAGCAACTGCCTGGAAAGTGTAAGGTCCCAAGTTCAATCTCCAGTACCTCCCCATCTCAAAAAAAAAAAAAAAGCATGTTATCTTGAAACTTTACTGAGCTTTCACTTTTTTGTTGTTTTTGTTTTGTTTTGTTTTGTTTTGTTTTGTTTTGTTTTCTGAACTGGGGATTGAACTCAGGCCCTTGTACTTGCCAGGCAAGCACTTACTCTATTGGGCTATCTCCTCAGCCCCTAGCCTTCACTTCTTTATCTGTTAAATGCTCATAATCTTGGCCTTGTGAGAGTGCTATGCAAACTGTGATACTCTTCAAGAATGTAAGCTCCTGATGGCAGCCCCTGTTCCTCGTGAGTGTGGGGCTGATACTGGATGTGCAATGCCCCCCAACACAAGCAAGCAGGCCCTCCTCTGACACAAGCAAGTGCCCTTCCCATGCACAAGCCAGGCCCCTGATACAGGGCATGTCCTCCGAAATGAAAACACTCACAACTCTAAGGAAGCTTTGCACTTTGCTTGCACTTGGCACAAGCAGTGGAGGAAAAGGACACCCAACGACCTGGTCCTGAAAGAGGGCAATGCCTGGGGAGCTAAGGGAGCAGCCAGATCCTGGGACTGCCAACATTAAGTCCCACATCCACCTGAGCCCTGCCCAGCAGCCTGCATCCAGCAGGCACCAGAGGGCTAATTGCAGTTTGCATCTACTGGTTGGGGCAAAGGTATTCCTTGGGTTGTATGCTAACCACAGCCTCTGGCGAATGGGAGAGTGGCCTCTGAGGCAGAGAGGACAACCTCAAAATTGATAGGTCTTAAAACTAGCTAGAGAAAATCACTGCTAGCTGGATCCCAAGAA